CCTCCTCCTTATTCTTCCTCCTCCTCTCCACACACCCCACCTCCTCCCAGCACTGACGATGTTCCCTAGCTGGGTCATGAGACGACTGCAAGAATATGCAGGCAAAACCAATAAAGTCATTTATTTTATTTTTTTTCGCACTTGGTGACTTCCAAGCCATTTTCTCCCCACCCAAGCAAATATCTTCTCCCCCCGTAGTTTGATGCCGTAGTTTGCTTGCTGTTTTTTCGTTTTAACCCCTTTTTTGAACCCCTGGATTTAGCTGAAGACCCAGATGTGGCAGCTGCTGAAAGGGCACGAGCACCTCCAGGACGAATTCTCCATCTTCTTCGATCACCTGCGTCCCTCGGCCAGCCGCCTGGGGGACTTCGAGGAAATCCATTGGACGGAGGAGAAAGACTATGAGGTGGGGGGGTCTCCCCTCCCCTCTTCTGGTTCTCCTTTCCGGGAAGGGGAAGCGATCGGGACAGGTGTGGAGGTCCGGCTCCTCCCCCACACCTGGTGGGAACACACCTGGGCCTACGGGTGGGGGTGGGGGGGGTGTTTAACCTGCCACCTTTGCCCCTCTCTCCCCTTCCAGTTTGATGGGTTCGAGGAAGTCTCGCTGCCCGACATGGAGGAGGAGGAGGAGCCCCCAAAAATCCACGCTGCCTCGAAGAACAAGAGACGGAAGGAGATGGGGAGCCAGAATGCTGAGAAGGTGAAAATCCAGCCCCCCCCCCCTTTTTTTTTTTCAAAGCCCCCACCTAGCCAGGAACGTTGCTTAGATGCCTTCACAGGTGGGAGTCCACATCGCCCTAGCTTTGAACCCTGGGTGTGGTGAAGGTTTTAGGTCTTGAGGGGTCCGTAGGTCTTTGGTGGGCCAGCTGGGCTGGATATGGCCCTGAGCACCTGATCATTTACAGCCACACAGCCTCACTGGCTGCGGAAGGCTGAGGGTAGGGAGAGAGAGAGAGAGAGAGAGAGAAATAGGCAGATAGGTGAGAGAGAGAGAGAGAGATGAGAGATCAATAGATAGAGAGAGAGAGATAGGAGAGAGAGAAAAAGATAGATAGATTAGAGAGATGATAGAGAGTAGAGAGAGTTAAACGGGCAGATAGATGAGAGATGAGAGAGAGAGAGAAACATACACAGACGAGAGAGATGAGAGAGTAGGAGGGAGACAGACAGCTGAGAGAGATAATAGAGGGAGAGGGAGGGAGATAGATAAAGAGATGATATAGGGAGTAGGGAGAGAGATAAAAAGACGGACAGATGAGAGAGATAATAAATAGAGGGAGGGAGGGAGATAAATAGATAGATGAGAGATGATAGAGAATAGAGAGAGAGAAACAGATGGACAGATAGACAGAGAAGATAGATAGATAGATAGATAGATAGATAGATAGATAGATAGATAGATAGATAGATAGATAGATAGATAGA